CGTAATGGAAGACAGAACAATTTAATGAAGGAGATTTAATAGTTTGTGTTTAAGCTAATGTGGTCCATTAAGATCTGTCATTTCAGTAAACAGTGAAGATATATCACATAATGCAGAGGCATCCAAGATTTTGTTGTTCTCCGTAATATTATGTAGGATGTGCTTGAAAGACACTGAAAGCTCTGAGAGCTAATTTAAGTTTTTACATTTGCATCCAGACTGTTATGTGTTTAGACAGTAAGCAATAAGTCAAAAATGCTGAGAAATTAAAGTATGGGTATTAAAAAAATACGAAGCCGTCCCAAAATGTGAACCAAATGAGGGCTTCTTTAAAAAAATTAGATTTGTTTTTAGAAACCTCAAGCTCTTTAAGCCATTAGCTGCTGTGGATGCCAGTAGCTAATTGCATAATTGCTCCCTACAGCAGAATAGAATAGTAGAGAAAGTAGAGTGACAAAGAGGTGAGCTCATCACTGTACTACTTCTCCTTTCATTCTCTATTCACAAGCTGGGGAAGGTTCAGGACAACCTGCCATCAGGCTGAGAAAAAAAGTGTAATGCCCTCCAGGTTTTGTTAGTTAGTTTTTGTTAGATAGAGGATGAGTAGCAGCCTGGGGATGAATCAGTCTGGGGAGTGCAGTAGTGAGGTTACCTCAGGGCAGGCTAGGAGGCTCTTACAGGTCAGGGCTTCTGGAGCCTTCCCATCTTTCTAGAAACCTTAGAGCTTCTGGAAGAGGGGTGGATGAGGGGAGGAGTCCCTGATCTGCATGTTTGAGGGACTCTGGCCAATCCCCTGGCAGGAGGCTAGGCATTGTGACCAGGGAAACCCTCAAATGTGGCAGAGCCTGGGGGGAGGTGAGCAGTGTCAGGTGGAAGATGGATTTAGGAAGGCTGCAGGGTGGACCTGGGAGGGGGCCCCAAGGAGGGGAGACCACCTACAGGCAGGTTGCAGGAAAAGAGGATCTCCACTGCCACATTGTTTCCAAGAGAGAACAGCCTGTATAGCAGGGAAGGAGCCAGCCAAGCGTAAGGCTTGAAAGCAGCCACCCACCCTCTAAGCTAACAGGAGAGGACAGTGTGAGTACTCTTACAGCCCCCTGGGCCGGATAAGGGGGAGAGCAGTCAGGTGCAAGACCCAACTATCATCTCATCTGGGACCATTCTAAACTAACAGCTCTTGGGCCCCCTTGTTCAGGTACACCCTCAGGCAGCTGGGTGAAGAGAAGGAATCATCCCAGGTCTGAGGAGGTACACCTAAGAGCCTTTGGTGCTTTTCAAGAAAAGACTGTTTCTATCTGCATCTTTGTACATAGTTGCTAAGGAGTTGTCCTTAAATTCTACAGTTCCTTTGGCATCCCATATACCCCTAGACCAGCCTTTTGTAACCTTTTCAACACAGAGGAACCCTTGAAATAACTTTCCGGTCTTAGGGAACCCCTGCTAAAAATTACTATAACTACAACTAATGATACATTAGTGTGATGGTCAGTGGGAAGAATGCTCCTTACTCTTGTGGTCATTGGGAAGAATTACTACATTGCAGATAGCTAAAAAGATCAATGGTGCCAGTGGGAATTTATCTGAAAGGCAGAAATTTCTCATCACTCAAGGGACCCCTAGCAACCTCTGGAGGAACCCTAGCTTTTGTTTTTGGACAGAGCAGGGAAGGCTTAGAACAGTGGGAGATAGATGAACATACCTAGGTTTGGTCCACTGAACAGTGCTGAAGTTCTGAACATTAATTCATATGCTTGTATTCTTTCTAAAATGTCACATCCTATGGCAAAAAAAGACAAAAACTGTTCCCGCCCCCCAAAAATTCATGCTAAAATCCTTATCGTTGATGAGGGTCTGTTACAGATTTTAATGGGGTACCCCACAAAAACAAAAATGAGACCCCCCACAAATCCATACCAAACCATAATCTGAGCATGCAACCTGGCAGTGCGGGAAAAAGAGTGTGCTGAACTGTACTAGGCCACATGCCATCAACCTGGGGAGGGTACCTTGCAAGGGAGGACTCTGGCAAAGTACTTTGTTGCCTGTTGATGAGGACAAGAACCCCTTATTCCCACAACCCTGGCCCAGTGCCTGTGGGGGCATGAATGTGGATAGTTATTGGGTTCTGGAGGCCCCTTTAAAAAAAAAAGGGGGCCCCATATACCAGCCTTCTTCTTACATGAATGACTAAGGGGTGCATAGTAAAAAAGTGTAAACAGTAAATAAACACATCACATACTTTAAGGCCTCTCTCACAATGACGGTCCGATTCGGTCCACCTGTCAGTTTTTTAGACGGACCCATCGGACCATCCATAGAACTCTATGGACCACTGACACCCGCCGACATCCAATCTGATTCTGTACACCAAAAACAGACAGATAGGGATCAATTCCCCATCCGTCTGGTGGATCGGATCAGATGGCAGTCGGATGGAAATGGCCAGGCAATCCGTATCCATCCGACTGCCCATAGAAGACAGAGGGGAGTGTCTGTGTCCACTCTGCAGCAGCGGAGCGAACACAGACCTGTCATCCACCTGCTCAGCGGGGATCAGCGGAGATATTTCCCGCTGAGCGGGTGGATCTGGGTCCTCCCTCTCTGAAAAAGCCTAACAAGTCCTTTATAGAAAAAAAGAAACGAAAAAATGTACCACAATGTAAATCCATCATCAGTCACATTGCCGATGATGATGAAGAGCAGACATGTAAAAGGTGATGGTCAGAGACTGCAGACATGCAACAGGTCCTGTATTCATGTCCTGGTGTTTTGTGTGTCCTATGGATCAATAAATATACACTATAATCATCAATCCTCCGGTGTGCGGCTGACCCTTCTTCCTATTGCATCGTGTGTGGTGGTCAGCCAAAGCCTGCACCTGTTGTGGATTGATCTGGATTGTTTGCCTGAGCGGTATACCTCTGTTCTTTGGAGACATGCAACAGGAGATGGTCAGAGACTGTGAATATGCTATAGTAGCTGTTGGTGACTGGAGTCACATTACATGAGACTGCTTTGGGTTACTGTTACTACAGCCCTTTTACAAATCATTGCTTCCATATTTGTTTTCTTCCTGCGGCCCATTTAAACGATTGTCTGTGCCACACTTGATGTTTCTCTCCACAAGTTTCATTATACAAAATCTAAGAGAAAAAACAACATAAAAAAGGGAAAAGAAGTGGACAACACAGTAAAAGTAAGCACCAGGGGTTACACCTCTGACAGGTTTTAATTGCAGTCTGTGTCTTTGCTGAGGAAATTTCTCTGTCAAATGTTAGATGCTGTCGGTGTCCTCATTAGGGTAATTGTATTTCTGTTCTGACACCTGTTACTATATTTGGACAGAAAGTGAGAGGAATTCTCCATCACGAGTACACAGACAGTAATAAAATTCTGACAGAGCAGATAAATCTATCATTTATAGTTCTGTCTGACTTGTGTCAAAAAAATAGGACTTGGGAGAATTTACTTGTTCTGACGTGTCAAATAGACAGGATGTGGGGAGGTTTTCCCTCATTTATTGCTTTGTCTGAAATATGTCAAATAGACAGAATGTGGGGAGATTTTGCTTTGCAAAGAAGTGCCCATATGCACATTATGCACATGCCCCTATAACACCTTTTCCTACAACTCTGTAGGTTCCTGGAAGATAATTTTCTATGCATCCCCAGCAGCTGAGTGAGGCCTCACCTGATATGGCAGAGGTAGCTGGGTAAGTGATCTGCAGCAGGGTAGGAGGCCCTCCACTGTCAGAACCAGCATGCAGGCAGCCAGGCCAAAACCTAATTACAGGCAGCTTTTTCAAAAGACCCAGATACAGTGAGGAACCCCTACCTGATTGCTACCAACTTACTCAAGTTGCTTACTCCAGTTCCCTTTGTCTTTCACTGTGAGGCATGCTGTCTATGATAATAATTACAAGTAGCCATTTGTGTTCTGAATTCTTTTCTTTTTGTTTACAAACATTTTTATTAAGATGTAGACTGCAAAAACCGCACAACATTGTGAGGTAGACTACACAAGAAAAAGAAACATAGGTAATGAACAGTATTAGAAAACACAGTCTTAAAAAAAATTAAGATCAAGTACATGAAAGAGGTAGGCAGCAAGATAGGCAGAACAACAAAGGTTCAATACAAAACAACCTATGATAGACCATCAATCGAACATTAAGTGTTGATGTGTTTTCCAACCATCCAATTTTCTGTCTAATAAATGCATCCTATCCAATAATGTATATTGAATACGTTCCATGAGCATGACCATATCTACTCTCCACAAAACGAGGCCAAAGGGACTACTGATGACTTCTAATGAAGGGCAATGGCCCATAGGGTAGAGATGCTGATAGTGTGAATTAGCCTCATTAGGTTGGCTGGGATCCCCAAACTGGATGTACCCAACAAGCAAATTGCAGAGATAAATCCACCGGAGAACCCGCCAAGGCAGAGGCCACCTCCGAGGTCCTGGACCAGATCAAGGAAAGACCAGGACAAGCCCAAAACATATGCACAAGGGTACCAGCAAGGCCACATCCCCTTAAACAGAGGTGCAATGTTCCCGGAAACATGACATGTAGTCTAGAGGGGGTATAGTACCGGCGGGTTAAGACCTTAAGGGCTGTCTCATGGACTGAGAGAGATCTAGAGCCCCTACGTATATTATCCACCATGGATCTGAATTCTTTTTCTGAACAAGTAGTGATTCTTAGTTTGACTTTCTGTTGTTATAGAGTCTTATAATGACACATGTTGCCTTCATTGAGCATCAGCGATATTACTTTGAGAGTCCATGTTTGTGCAACTTTCATAATCTATTTTGTATTATTCTGCAGTGTATGTGTGGGTGGGGCTTAAGGCTGCCTAGTGGGGACACAGTGGAGCTGCACTTGTTAACTTGTTGCCGACCGCAGATAGCCGAATGACGGCTGCACTGCGGCCGGCCAGTTCTGAGTGGACGTCATATGACGTCCCCCCAGAACGCGCTCTCCTGCTCTCCCCCAAGGGGCGCGCACCCGGCGATCTTCGTGATCGCTGTGTCCTACGGACACAGCTGATCACGTGATGTGGTAAAAGGCCAATCACAGCGGCCTTTTACCACCTGATCAGCGGTGTCCAATGACACGCTGATCAGAGGGAAATGCAAGTGCCGGTTCTCGGCTGCACTTTCCTCACGCTGTCAGATCGTGAGGAAAGTACTGCCGAGAACCGGCAGTTGTCAGAGCGGGGATCGGCACCGATCATCAGGGCACTGATGATCAGTGCCCTGATGATCGGTGCCCAGCAGTGCCACCCGCAAGTTCCACCCACCTGTGCCCAGCAGTGCGCCCACTAGCTCCGCCCACCTGTGCCCAGCAGATCACCCACCTGTGCCCAGCAGTGCACCCACCTGTGCCACTCTGCAATGTCACACACCTGTGCCCAGAAGTGCCACCTACCTGTGCCCAGCAGTGCCACCCACCTGTGCCCACCCACCTGTGCCCACCAGTGCCACCCACCTGTGCCCACCCACCAGTGCTGCCCCACCAGTGCCCACCCCACCAGTACAGCCCAGCAGTGCTGCCAGTCAGTGCTACCAGTCAGTGCCCAGCGGTTGTGCCAGTCAGTGCCGCCAGTCAGTGCCCAGCAGTGATGCCAGTCAGTGCCGTCTATCAGTACCCATCATCAGTGTCACCTATCAGTGCCGCCTATCAGTGCTGCATATTAGTGCCGCCTATCCGTGACACCTCATTAGTGCTGTCTATCAGTGCCGCCTATCCATGCCACCTCATTAGTACTGCCTATCAGTGCCCTTTAGTGCTGCCTATCAGTGCCCATCAGTGCCGCCTATCTGCCCATCAGTGCTGCCTCATCAACGCACATCAGTGAAGGAGAAAAATTACCTGTTTGAAAAATGTTATAATAGAAACAAAGAAACTTTTTTTTTTTCTTCAAATTTTGTCAATTTTTTATTTATAGCACAAAACGTAAAGCGCCCAGTGGCGATTAAATACCACCAAAAGAAAGCTCTATTTGTGAGAAAAAAATGATCAAAATTTCATATGGTACAAGGTTGCATGACCGCGCAATTGTCAATCAAAGTGCGGCAGCGCTGAAAGCTGAAAATTGGCCTGGTAAATAAGGGGGCATAAGTGCCTGGTAGGCAAGTGGTTAATACCTAAACTTAGGCAATGAGCTGCGGTCACATGAAATCAACATTAAGGCAGATCTCCCAAACTCAGAAGCAAGCAGCACTTGCACAGTTAACTTTCTGTAACCTGTAGCCAAGCTTGTTGCACTGTTAACACTATACACTCTAGACTCATCTACTTGTTATAGAAAATTTAGGAAGTATTTAGGAACTGTTACTGCAGAGACTGTATTGGTCTCCACCAACACAGCAATTCCTGTCACCTCCCTCCCTGTGACATGTCCAACTGCTGTTACTGGATACAGAAAACACACTTTTACTATAACTACACGCTTGAACTCTTCCCAGAGGCCTCTTGACATCTCTCTCTCCCGTGACTCCCAAGCAAGGTTCCTAGGTACACTGTGCTGCAGATCTGGCTAACCGACCTCCCATCTGATGATACCTGCATAGTTCCAAATCCAACGTCTCTTGGCAAAGCTAATGGCATGACTGCAAGGGTATAATTCTGTCCACCCATATAAGGGGGACTTTTTTTCCCACTTTCCACCACTAATGTAAGGGACAATTTTCCAATGACACCTAATGGACTAATCTTATCAGGTCTTCCCTGAAACTTGCAAATTATTTCAAGTGTTCCTCTGGGTTAAGGTAAAAAAAAACTCTGAGCCTTTAGTAATACCTTGTGGTGACCATGTTGACCTGTAGAATCTAAGAGAGGTATGTACAGGGCCGGTGCTTCCACTATGCAAACTAGGCAGCCGCCTAGGGTGCACTGCCACCTAGGGGCGCCTGGGCACAGCACAGGCCGGAACTTTCTCTGTGTGGGATGCCGACACATCATGTATGATCCTTCAGCTGAGGGGAGGTGTGGCAGAGGAGAGGAAAAAAGAACAGAGGAAGATGCTGGGTGTCTGGGGCCAGTGTAGCAACTAAGCTGCCGCTCCTTCCAGTGTTCCTCTCAGACTCAGTCGCGTACTGCAAGCTGGCTGGCAGCTGCTGATCACTGTTCAGTTCCAACCCTTCTCTTCACATTCATCAGCGGAGGCAGAGCTGTACCTGTGGAGGAAGGTAATGTCTGACTCTGATGTCTGTGGCATTTATTTTTGCAAATTAAAATAAATTTAGCAGTTTCGTGTTTTGTTGATTTATTATTATATTATCTATCATAATAATTTCTACTGTTTTTGAAAATGTGTATATTTTTTTTAGGGGAGGAGGGGGGGGGGGGGGGGTGCAAGTAGCTGGTCTTGCTTAGGGCCCAAAATAGTCTAGCACCGGCCCTGGGTATGTACCTACATGGGGGTATGATGTTAAGGCAGAACTCTCAGTAGAAGCTACAATATTGCACAACAGATATTGTTTAACTCTTGTAATCTGTGTCACAATTCTGTACTCTTCACGCTGTATACTATGGACACAGTACTTTTACACCTCTCTCTCTTCCATGCAGCATTTTTGAGCTGGAGCATGCATTGGACTCCACCAGCCCAGTTACCCATGACCTCATCCCAGTAACACTGATCCGAATGTTAACTTGAATCCTAGGAAGCTTGACCAGTGCATAACCAGTGCTTATTCTCCTTGAGGCCACACTCCATCTTTCGTAACAAACAGGCTGGGTCCCTAGTATGCCCCATGAATCGGACCCAAGACTGGGGTACTGCTCAAAGGGGCAAGAGCCTAAGCACACAAGCTCCTTCACTACTGAGACCTTCCATAACCTATGCCAAGTTACCTCTGCTTCTGGCACTTAGACACCAGCACTGTAGTTATAAGCAACAACAATATAGCCTTTCCCAATTAGCTCCACTGCACGTTAGACATATGTACTGCAGCTTCTCTTGTTTTCCTGTGTGTACCACCCAAAAGGCCTGAGAAAACCTGGCCAACAGAGTTAATCCATAGCTCTCAGGAATCACCAACTCCGCAGGGCAACATAATTAAACAGTGCCCAGTCAGTACAGTGAAAATGTCACAAATAAACAATAAAAACATACAATACAACAAACCCTCAGTAAGCACCTGCTTACAAACAAACCCATAGCGTTTAAAGGAGTAGTAATATCTTTGATGGTGTATATACAGTATGTATAGGAATAGAAATGTTCACATGGCTGTTCAGCTGAAAAATGGCAGCGCACATGGGAAGCCTAATATAGTGACCCACTGGGATCTGTGACTGATGTTAATGGGTCCTTCTATAAATGCATACAAATAAGTAAACCGGATACAATAAAAGCAGATCTGTAGTAAAAAAAAATAAAAATAAAAATACTGTCAGGCAGCACTGGAGAGCTAGGTGTTATATGCCACAAAGACTTTAAACAAAACAGAAGAACAATATATTTCAAATAAAATGCCCACCATCAATCAGTAAAATATTTAACATAAACTGTTATTCCATTGTGATCATTTCTGATAACTGTTCTACAATATTTGTCATAGCTTGGTACGGCAGGGATCTTTGCCGTGCCACTTTTCTGTTTGCAGTTCCCTACTGTAAAAACATTGTTCTTTGGCATATTAGTGAAAAATTTATCCTGGCTGCTCAGATACAGATTATTAAGTAATTTAATGATAAAACAATTACAAACATAATTAGGCCATCTTTAAGCCTTGCGTGCCACTTTACTCACATTTTCTGTGTCCTTGTTTAATAAATGGAGCTGACACACTGCTGCAGCAAGCTGTATTAGTACATACTGCAATGAAAACAGGGCAATGTCAAGTGTTATTACTGCAAAATACAACATGATTCATTAAGAGGGAAACATTTCTGACATTTACCACCTGAACATTTTTCTTTTCATATTTACAACTGATTCATGTTTTTTTAAACATTTTTACAGGGATTTGATCCATTTTATTTGCTCAAGAGTTCAGTTTTAAAACAGAACCCTTTGGGTTATCTAAAGAGAAAATACAGCACTAGCATCTTACCTCATGGTTGTCATTCAGTTCTATGAGTAACTTGCAGCTTTATTTCAATAACATTTTTTTAGGGTAATGCAATTAACCCAGCAGAACCCTAAAAAAGGACAAAGGAGCAAAATTCAAGTCCACTAGTATACCATATAAGGTGTGGATCACAGTACCCAAAGTGCAGCAACATAAATATATTTTAGGGAAGAAACCCTAATAAAGAAGGTAACTTGCGTGATCCAAATAGTCTGACTATGTAGCAAATTTTATTAAATAACCATAAAGTAATAAGCAGAATGGAAAAGATTTGTCCGTACAAAAATATATATACCTCCACCCATCACCATTGAAAATTTTACAACGTTATCCATTTAAAACCAGGGAGTCCGGACTGAAAATGACTTAGGAAAGAAGTCTAACCATCAGCAGTTCCATGCCTTAAATTTCATAGACCTCTGCTCAAAACTGAGCATAAAAGATTCAAACAATGTATCCACTAGAACAGTGGTCTCCAAACTGTGGCTTGGGGACCGGATGCAGCCGTTTGCTTGCTTTTATCTGGCCCTTGGAGCACTATTCCTCCCACTGACACCAATGATGGGGCACTATTCCTCCCACTGATACCAATGATGGGGCACTATTCTTTCCACTGATACCAATGATGGGGCACTATTCCTCCCACTGACACCAACGATGGGGCACTATTCCTCCCACTGATACTAATGATGGGGCACTATTCCTGCCACTGACACCAATGATGGGGTACTATTCCTCCCACTGACACCAATGATGGGGCACTATTCCTCCCACTGACACCAATGATGGGGCACTATTCCTCCCACTGACACCAATGATGGGGCACTATTCCTCCCACTGACACCAATGATGGGGCACTATTCCTCCCACTGACATCAATGATGGGATACTATTCTTCCCACTGATACCAATGATGGGGCACTGTTCCTCCCACTGACACCAATGATGGGGCACTGTTCCTCCCACTAACACCAATGATGAGGCACTATTCCTCCCACTGACACCTATGATGTGGCACTATTCTTTCCGCTGACACCAATGACGGGGGACTATTCCTCTCATTGACACCAATGATGGGGCACTATTCCTCCCACTGACACCAATGGTGGGTCGCTATTCCTCCCACTGACATCAGCAATGGGGCTTTATTGTTCCCATTAATGACAATGATGGGGCATTCTTTACTCCCATCAATGCAAGGGCATTTTCTCCTTACACAGGCCACAGTCTGGCCCCCTTAAAATCTGAAGTACAGAAAACTGGCCCTTTGTTTAGAAAGTTTGGAGACCCCTGCACTAGAAGGAGGAAAATGACAAGACATAATGCTGAAGAT